GTTCGCTGCCTAGGGCCACGCGCTAGGAATGTTAACGAAAATTCCGTGGGCCGTCCTGGTTCGCTCCCAATCCTTCCCTGTGATCATTGCGGAGAGAAGTAACGTGTGAGTTGCACCATCGAGGAGAAGGGCCAACGCGCTCCTCCTCACCCCCAAACAGGAAGAGAAATGATCGCACGCGCTTGCCCTCAGGTGTCGCAGAAGTATCTGTGCGGGATCTCATTAGCATTCGGCCTTGAGGTTTCAGCTCTAACTGGTTGGGAGAAGGAGAGAGAAACATCAATCAGAATGTGAGTAAGCCCCGCGCTCAATGACATAACTGGCTACTGGCAATGGCAGGAGGGTTACAGTGCAGAATACGGCCATTGTTCTTTCCCACTGTACTCACGCTCATTACCATCAGAAGGCCGCAGCCGCGTGGGGATAGCCTTTCTTTTATTAAAACACCCGAGCAATCCATTAATTTTACTTGGCGATCAACGCAGCAGTAAGGGAACAAAAAAAAATTCTAAAATAGATCGTCTTTGGTATTTCTGCCGCTGTGATTGCCTGTGTCTGAAGAGCTGTCCTAGGACAGACCCAGATCTTGTTTTTTTTTTTGTTTTTATTTGATTGTCGTTTGTGATTGTGCGCGCGGCTGAATGGGCTGGATTTGATGTGTGTTGTGTTATGGGGAGGCTGAGGCAGGAGGATCGCTGGAGCCCAGGAGTTTGAGGTTGCTGTGAGCTAGGCTGACGCCACGGCACTCTAACCAGGTCAACAGAGTGAGACTCTGTCCAAAAAAAAAGAAAAAGAAAGAAGGTGAATTGAAGGTCATTATCAGTCATTATATCTTAGCCGGAATAACAGACAAACAGTGAGTCGTGTGGTGTGGAACCCAGGATTGAATGTGAACCGTGGCTCCATCATTTCCTGGCTGTGTGTCCTGTGCAAGACACCGAGCCTTGGAAAATCTCTGAAAAACTGACATAATAGCAATGTCTGCGTCACAGCATCATTGCTACGAGAATTTTATGACAAAATGAGCTCGTCCTGCTGGGGCCCGCTGTAAGTTCTCACGCGAGCTCCAACAGGTTGATGAGAAGAGAGGTGTTTTTGACATCGAGTGTAGACACCACGGTTCTCTGGTTCGTGGAATAGGGTGGCAAAAAGGGAAACGGAGGTAAAGGGCCCATTTCCAAAGGAAACGGTGACAATTGGCACCACGTGCGACCACAAAATTATCACATTTAGGAATGAGTGCCAGTGGGGGGAAATTAAACCGGTGAGCTGCCAGGAAAGCAGCGATCACAGAAAGTCACGTTCCGGCACGTTCAGGGAAGTGACAGGGGGAATGACCAGGCAACCGGCTGCACGGCCGGAGGGGCGGGAGGCAAGTCCACCTTGTCATTTAAGAGACGAGACAGCCACTATGGAGGCGCAAGGCAAGTTTGAGAAAATCATTTTCTAAAAAAAAAAAAAAAAAAAAGATTAATTTTAAGAAAGCAGATTTCAATAAAATTAAGGGAAAATATAAGTCCAAAACAACCTGTTGGTCTTTAAAATAAAATAGAAATAAACTAAGAAATGACCTTGAGAGAAAAAAAATAAAAACCCACAAAGTTTTAAAATGCCAAAAGTGTGCTAGTCGGTTAAATGAGATTCTGCACGCCACACGTGCTTGGGTCCAAAAAAGCCGAGAACGCAAAGAGAGTGCAAAGTCTTGTGAGAATAAAATCCGCAAAATCCTAGGCAAGAAATCAGAGGCGGCCTGATGAGACAGAAACGCAACCTGCGTGTCAGTGGAAGCTAATTTAAAAAAGGATTTAAAAATAACCCTGGGAGTTATCCTTGCATTAATTGAGAGAGAACCATGAATAGAATGGTGCTTAAAATTAGAGAGTTGACAACGCTTCTCTTATTTAAAAAAAATAGGCAGAAGCAGAAAACATATGGAATGGGGGAAATTGGAATGGACTTTCTACCTCTTCTTTCTCCTTGCCCGGCCAGAGGCTCCACGCTCTGATTTAGCTGGTTTATGTAAACCAGGGGTCCTCAAACTTTTTAAACAGGGGGCCAGTTCACTATCCCTCAGACTGTTGGAGGGCCAGACTATAGTTTAAAAAAAAAAAAACTATGAACAAATTCCTATGCACACTGCACACATCTTATTTTGAAGTAAAAAAGCAAACGGGCAGAAACACCCGCGTGTGGCCCGCGGGCCGTAGTTTGAGGACGCCTGGTGTAAACTCTTCAACACTGAGTTGAGCACCTGTGACATCATCCACCTGTTTATTAGCCTTTCCCTACTTGCCTTCGCAGCTCTGTAGAGGAGTTCTGCTTCCAGAATCCCCCAAGCTCCAAAGACATTGCTCAACTAAATCACCCAGACATAGCTAAGCACAGGGACCTGTTTAAAAAGATTTTCTTTTGGCATGAATTTGTCTTTAAAGATTTCTTTAGTGACTCCAGCAAAGATTTATATACTTGCTCGAAAAGTATTGATTTTTTTTTTTTTCCTCCTTGAGGTCAAAACTACAAAACTGATACAACCCCCTGGGTTTTAGGCATGCTCTTCCCAAAGCTTGAGAAAGCAAATGAAGCCAACAACTGGGTTGATACCTAGACAACGATTCCTCCCCAAAGCAAGAGGAATTTGTGCTGTTTTCAAGCTTGCTTTTAACGTTACAAATCAATGACAGTTTCTCACAATCTAAGAGACCTTCTCCACCTTGCGTAGGAATCAGAGGAGATCTGAACACGCCGGAGTGTTCTGTTGCCCACAGTGAATAACCGTGGCCGTTATCAAACCGCCGATGACTAAGTGGTGAGGGGAGTGTGTTACCTAATTAGGGCCAGTGTCCTTTCACCTTTAGGATGACATGGGCGGGTCGAGCTGGCCCCCAGTGCCCCGTGGCATTGTGCTTACCCCTTAACGGTGCACGCACATCACACAAAAGCTCACAGCGCGGACAATTACCCATATCTCCGTCTTCCCGTTGTTCTTCCTGCACCTCTCGGCCAGCGAGCACAGCTCCACAGTGGTCTCAGATATGAGGTCCACGTTTTTGTCCTTCACGATGATCTGCATCACCCTCCCCTTGTTGATGTGGGCATCAAAGGTGCTGTCCCAGGGCGGGTACATGGTGGGCTTTTTCTGGACGTACATCTGCCCATTCTCTAGGGACAGAAAGACAGGTGCTCATTACCCCTACGGCCAGCTCCGACGAGGATTCGAGTCAGCTCAGCGGGGGGACCTGTCCCCTCTGCGGTCTGGGACAGGTCATTCTGTCGGGGGGATGAAAGCGACACATCGGCGGTCAGAGACTATACAGGAGACAGAACGAGACGGTTCCACGGTGTACATGCAATGTGATGCACTGAATCTTACGAGGCCAACATAGACAATTTAGACAGCAACAGTCTGCCAATGTCTTTTTTCTTTTTTAAATTTCAGAATATTACTGGGGTACAAATGTTGAGGTTACACGTATTGCCTTTGCACCGCCTGCGTCAGAGCTTCAAGCCTGTCCGTCCCCCAGATGGTGCACACTGTACCCATTAAGTGTGTATATGCCCATCCCCCCCTCCCCACCTCCCACCTGTCCGACACCCGATGAATGTTACTTCCATAACCCGATGAATGTTACTTCCATATGTGCACATAAGTGTTGATTGATTAGTACCAGTTTGATGGTGAGTGCATGTGGTGCTTGTTTTTCCATTCTTGTGATACTTCCCTTAGTAGAATGGGCTCCAGCTCCATCTGGGACAAGTACAAGAGGTGCTAGATCACCATTGTTTTTTTGTGGCTGAATAGATCTCCGTGGTATACACATATACCACATTTTCTATTAACGCGTTGGAATGGAAATGTTCTTTTTCTACTTGACAGTTTGTTGCTTCACTTTGGGTGTGAACACCTGAGCTAATAAAGTTTTCTTTTTTTTAAAAAAAACAAAAAACTTCCATGCCTTTCGAGATCCTCCTTTGTTAATTTATAAACAGCCAATTATGTGACTGATTAACTTCTCTGGCGTTGAGTAAAAAATAGTCAACACAAAACCACTGTGTGTTCATCTGATCGACATGGTGGGGAATAATTTAAGCTTATAATGAGTAAACCTTTAAAAATATTTAAAAATTTTCCGTTTGGCATCAATACTCTCAAAGGCAATAACTATGAAAACATAATGAGCCATTATTTCCTTCCCTAATTCTTGGATGGAGACACGCTTTGCATACACCTTGCGCCCTAAGGAAGAGCTGACAGGTGATTTACACAGGTGGCGGTCTTGGTCCGTGAAGCCAGCGAGGTAGCCTGCAAACCCACAGGTGGGAGATGGAGGCAGGTAGGTGTGAGCCCTGGCAACCCGGGACAGGGTGATCAGTTGAAGGGAAACATCCCCAGCGGCCACCAGGTGCCTGGGAAAGAGTTTACTACTGGAATTAAGGAGTTTTCTCCTGTCTTACACCCACACTGGATTTTCTCCGGTATTCATTCCTTAATCATTTCAGAAGCAGAAAACGGCAGCTGCATCTGAGGGTTTGTTTCTTGTGCTATAAGCACGTTAAGTGGCAGATTTAGCCATTCGGAGATGGCGGATGCAGTGGGGAAAAAAATCTGCTTACAGCCAGGAAACAAAGCCTTTCTAACCTTGAGGGGTCCTTCTCCCCAACACCATGCAAGGCTGAACGGGACAGGCTTTTAGCATTTGTTAAATTAATATTTATCTGGGGGAGATAGATGCAAGGAGTTGAATAAGCTGAAACTTCAAATTTTAGGGAAACTTGGCTAGTAAAGGCTTATAAACCACGAAGGGTGGACTAGGAAGGAGAAAGTTTTTATGGCTTGGTTAAAAACATTTTTGACTGCAGATTGGGCTTTTTAGAAAGCAGTGGCAATATTAACGATCACAGTAACATTTGACTTCCACAGACTCGAGGCTTCCCCATGGGGTAATTCCTTCCAACTGTAACCATCCTGCAGGTGCAGAGGAAAAGGCCAAAAATCCCCAGAGAAAGGGCAAAAATCCCTGCAGCAAGGATTTTTGTTTTTTTCATTTTCATTCACTGGGTTTGTAAGCAACTAAAAAGAGGACCAGAGCTCAGAAGGCTCCGTGGACGGTGCGTGTTGAGGTTGTCAAAAGCTCACGGACCCAAGCCCTGGGGCTTGCATGTTCCGTCAATTCAGCCTGGAAAATGCAGCCTCACACACCACAGCTCGAGGTGGCTTTAAACCCTAACGACAGATGTGATGCTTGAATGATCATGTTCAGAGAGATTTCTCTTTAGAACAAAACAAAAAAAAATCAAAACCAAACATCTCCAAACTTCCTCAAAACCCTGCAGGCTAATGTCCCCGGGGGGGAAAAAAAGGAAAACATTTTCTCCTTTTCTGACGAGGTCTCTCGATCCACGTGGCTGACGAGATCAAGTTCAAAGGCAAGGCTAAAAGAAGCAGCAGGAGAAGAAGAAAAGCTCTCGGGAGGCAAATGTCAGTGAGACCCGGGGCTGTAAACAGAACCGGAACCAGGAGGCCCATGAAGCCAAAAGCAGCTGCTTTGAAAAACTCAAGACACGTTGCACTTCAAAGATGCCTGTGACATTTGAAAGGTTTGGGTCGGGAGCAAGTGGCGTTCTCACTTTCAACTAAACAGGAGAGAACTCCGGGCAGGAGGGAAGCCGAGATGACTCAGACAGGGTCCTGGGCTTTGATGTCTTCAGAGCAGCTGGAAGGGTGAAGTCAGCCATGAAACAAAAAGCCTTTTATTTCGGGGGACAGGGGGCCCACAAAACAGTGGGATTTGGAACCCCAGAATCCAAGTCAGTTTCCCGTTGCATTTGCAAATGTCCCGCCCTGCCCCTCCAGGCCTCTTTAGGACTACCCTGTATAAAATGGCACCCGTCTCTGCCCCCAGCTCACATCCCACTCCTTGGCTCTGCCTGGTGTAGCATCGAGCGTTGCTTGCCGCGTTCTAGCTTTGCTTATTGCCTGTCTCCTTCTGCAAGAAAGGATGCTCTAGAGCAGGCGTCCTCAAACTACGGCCCGAGGGCCACATGCGGGCCGCCTGGCACATCTATCCGGCCCGCTGGGTGTTTTCGCCACCGCTGCCTGTCCTGCTTAGCGGTCGACTCGTCCCGGGCCCACAGTGCGCACTCTCCAACGGTCTGAGGGACAGTGAACTGGCCCCCTGTTAAAAAAGTTTGAGGACCCCTGCTCTATAGGGAAGGCACTCGTTCTGGGTTCTTTTGGCTTGTATGTGATTTATTTTCCCCCTCTCTCTGCTCTGGCCCCAGCATCCCTACAAGGGGGACCCCCCATAAACACTTCTGTGTAAATGAAGGGCGATGGCTTCTGCAAACCTGCAGAAGCAAACCTGCATCTTTGTCGATCGTACCTCTCTGCAAAGTCTCTGCTGCAATAAAACACGTGTGCAGGGGAACAGGAGAAGCCAGTGAGAGGGCAGGCAAGTCATGGAGTGTACACCTCCTCCTGCCTTTCTTTTGGAAAGTCTTGAAATGCAACGGTGAGGATGGGGGAAGCTGGCGGAAGTGACCACAGAGAGATCCCCTGTGTAGCAGGATTGTTTTAACAGGACCTTCCAAAGCAGTGACTGCTGGGAGCTGGTGTTCAAACGTCCCGGCTCCCTTGGCCCTCGGGCAAGATAGGTCTGCTCTATGTGTTTTAAACTGTAGCTCAGAGTTTCCATGCAGGATTTTTTTTTTTTTTGAGACAGAGTCTCGCTTTGTTGCCCAGGCTAGAGTGAGTGCCGTGGCGTCAGCCTAGCTCACAGCAACCTCCAACTCCTGGGCTCAGGCAATCCTCCTGACTCAGCCTCCCGAGTAGCTGGGACTACAGGCATGCGCCACCATGCCCGGCTAATTTTTTTCTATATATATTAGTTGGCTAATTAATTTCTTTCTACTTTATAGTAGAGACGGGGTCTTGTTCTTGCTCAGGCTGGTTTCGAACTCCTGACCTTGAGCGATCCTCCCGCCTCGGCCTCCCAGAGTGCTGGGATCACAGGCGTGAGCCACCTCGCCCGGCCTCCATGCAGGATGAATCTCCAACTGACCACTGTGGCAGCTGCCTTAATAATGTGCCTTTTATTAGTCTCTCCCCATCCCTACTTCCTGGCGTCTCTCAATAAACTATAATGAAAAAGAAAAGAAAAACAGCAGGAGGTGAGCGGCGGGGAGCAGGCAAAGCTTCATCTGTATTTATAGCCTCTCCCCATTGCTCGCATCACCACCTGAGCTCCCCCCTCCCCACTCCCTCCGCCTCCATCCCTGCACCAACTGTCTTCCTCGAAACCCGTCCCTGGTGCCAAAAAGGTTGGGGGCCGCTGTCTAGAGGAACCTCAGGTGGCTGTCCCCCTTCTTCCCCTCACCATCGACTGCCTATAAATATTTACATTTGATGAGACATGACTGTTCTTTCATTCGCCCAGGGCCTCCATCAATGCAAAAGTGTGTTTTCTGAAACCTAGATTCGAAGGCTCATGATAGACAGAGGCTTTGTAACGTTGATCGCCGCTCAGCCAGAGAAGCAGTAAACGGTCTTCAGAAACAACCCCAGGGCTATGTGGTCTTAATCTACCTGGGATTTATGTCAGGGAACCAGGCTTGACAATGTAGGTCCTGGATTCCGCTCCAGCTCACTGGAGTCCTTGCCCACTGACTCTCTCCAAATTCCCTCCACCCCACTCTCTCCTCCTCTTTGTCTGCAAGAGGAAAATGGCGCAGTGAGCTATAGGACAACCAGTGGGTCACGAGGTCCTGGCTCAGGGTCCCCCACTAAGCGGGTGTCCTTGAGGAGGTACCCGGATTGGCGTGCACATCAGCGTCCTTGACCGCAGAATCCGGTTGAACCGGATGACCTTGAACGCCCTTGCTTCACACCCATGCCAGGATCCAACTTCCCCTCCCCGGCCCCTGCCCGCCACTCACGCTTACCTGATTCCACAAACTCCTTGACCAGCACGGCGCAGTAGGGGTTAACGGCCTCGCCCTGGCAAGCCTGGCAGGACCCACAGTCAAAGTTGGACAGGCCGATTCGAAGAAATGGTGACATGGCTGCTCCCTGGAGAAATGACAAAGGACAAAATGCTATTTGGGGGCCGCGGGAGATATTATTTTGGGGTGCCCCGTTCTGCATGTAACTAGAGGCTTTTTTTTTTTTTTTTTTTATCACCAACAGCCAGAGCCGCAGAGGGGTGGACTATCCATGCGAACACACGCTGTCACTTCCCCCGCTGCCGGGGACACCGTCTCGGGACTCACCCCAGACCACAGACCGGCTCTCCGAGGGAAGGGGCTTTCTGGAAGGCTGCATCCAACCCCCTGGGAGAGAACCAGCTAGAGCGCTCCGCCCGCCCGAGCAGACGGAGAGACGCCGAGGTCCCCCAGTATTTTATTTCTTCTGTTGTCCGAGTCAGTGCTGGGGAGGCAGCACGCGGCAATGGGACAACGCGTTTTTAAAGAGCGAGTCTATTTTAGTCCCCCTGGTTAACATGACACCGCAAAGTGCTTGCACGCCTGTGTGTGTGTGCATGGAATTGGCCGGAGGCTTTGAGCAGCTGATCCCTGTTTGCTCGGGATGTTTTCGAGAACAGCCCTTTGCTCACGGGGACACACGCACGGCGGGAGCCTTTGAACACTGTGAACCACCAAGAAAACCCCGAACCCACTCTCCACTGTAGAACAGGGCTTCGTCCTCAAAAAACCAGTCATTGTGTTTTCCAGGAGATTTGCGTGAAAATTACCACAGTGTTGGCTACAAATCCGGGAATCCAGTCTGACTGTTCCCTCTCCTCTTCCCTTTCCTGTTCCCTCTCCCGCTCCTGCTCCCTCTTGTGCCATTTACCTGAACCCCACACCTGTTCCTTTCTACCAACTGTCCCCTCCCCCCAGCCACGTCCCATTTACCCGACACTATCGGCTGGTAGTCAGTGAAAAAGCTATTTCTCAGTTCCCACTGTCTTCTGGACCGTTTCATCCTCATCCAATTTCCCAACTTTTTTTTTTTTTTTTTTTTTTTTTACAAAGGAAGAGAGTTAGTTGGAGTAATAGGAACCCGGAAGTGAGAATCAGTAACCCTGGCAATCGTGGGGCGGGGGGCTGACACCCAATCCAGCCAAGCCCCGAGAAGTTCCCCAGCACTCAGGAACGCTCATGTTCTTCGGGTATTTGGGGATCTCTAGAGTGACAGATTAGGGACCCCTGAGGACAGGTGGTGGTAATTTTACGGATGTTAATGAAGCCCTAATTGCCCGCAGAGTTGGAAAAGTCTGTCTACAGGAGGAGGTTGCATACACATCAGGATTTGTTAGGGATCCTTGGTCTCTGAAACACATTGTGTGCACACCACACTGTTGAACACACACAGATGTGCGTGTGCTCATGTGTGTGTATGTATGTGCATGTATATGTTTGTGTGTATATGCATGTATATGTGTGTATATGTATGTATATGTGTGTATATGTATGTATATGTGTGTGTATATATCTATGAACAGCCAAGAAGATGTGTAATGAGCACATGAGAATAAAATTAACATAAAAGATTTTCCTGGGCTGCCTTTTTTGCTCGGAGCTGATGGTAGGAGAGGGGGGATTTCCCTGGGTGTTAAAATAGAAAGGAGATTTCCTGTCAACAAAAACACATGTGCTGGACTAGCTGCCTCCAGGCTAAGCTTGTGCGACTCTATCTGCCCTCTGTGGACTGTAAATTTCAGTCCATCTCATCTTTACCCTCCAACTACGGGTGATGGGAGAGACCAAAATAGATGCCCGTTTATCAACTAAGACGAACTCTAGGGTTGAGGAAACGAAAAGCCACCTCCTGGGTTGACGGTTCGGAGCTTAGCCGCACGGCAACTTCCTGAATTCCTACAGCTACAAGAAAAATCACACTCTTGCTAAATTCCCCAGCACCAGGAGCTATCCCGCAAATTGTCAGACCTTCCTTACTCTGATTTTACAACGCAGACCACTACAGCTCCCACTGGGCAGAGGACTGGCCCTACAAGCATCCTCTGCCGATAAGCAGCTGCCACACGAAGCCAGTTGCAGGCAGCTTACAGAGACCGCACACCCGCCGTGCTGCGTTTGTGCCCTATAGTTCACCTTTTGATGTAGAGAGCCAAATTCAACCTCATTTCAACGCTAAAACCCAGCCCCCAAGTGCACACGGAATGGATGTTACATATATGTTTACTCGTTGCACATGCTCTTGACCCCCGTCATGAACAGGCATGGCTTTCCCCAAACCTGCTGAATATGTATGAGTTTCCCCTGTGATACAGACCCTGCGAGGCATGAAACCCACCTGCCCTTTCCCTCGTTGAAGAGAGAGCACCTTTAGCACATGCAGAGACAGTCTCTTCCCGGTTTGCAAACTGGTATCGTCAGCGGAGCTCTCCCTTCTGCTATCCAGCCGCCCCGGTGGACTTCTGGAGGATGCAGAGGCGGCCTCGTACTTTACAACAACAACACCTGCCCAAGGTCTAACAACAGGCGCCAGATCCCTCTGCAGACCCCCTGTCTGAGCAATAAAGTCACACATTTGACTCTCTCCTGGATGTCCCCAAGGGGGCTCTCAGCTCACCAGGCCCCATATAGAACTTCCCTTTCAAATCCGCCCCGTCTTTCACTTTGCTGGCTCAGTGCCGGGGTACCGTGGCACTCAGCTTAGCCCTCTGCTCCCACTCGGCTCTTCCCCTCCTGTGGTGCTCAGCGGCAGCTCACCCTGTCTCCTCTGTCCAGGCCTGGTCACCTCTCACTCGCCGTCGGGTCTCCACGCTGCAGCCCGAACGCTCTCAGGACCTTGCAGAGCTGCCACTACTCCTCCAGGGTGGTCTGCTGTTGGCAGCTCCAGACTTTTACTAGAGCTGCACCTCTCCCGAGTGCCTGCCTATTTCCTTCCATCATTCTCCCGCCAGCCTCCTCCTGGCCTTTCAAGTGCCTGCTCAGTCTCTGTCTTCTCTTTGAAGCCTTCCTTTTCTCCTCCTCCGTGGCCTTCCCAGCAGCACATCGGGGCGGGTGGACTCAGGCCCCCCAGTCTCCCCCGGCTCCCTGGGTGCACAGCTAGACAGCACCTGTCACGTTTATTTGCCTTGCCCCTGGCATTTCTGAAGTCAGAGTGGGGTAGATCCTGTGGCTTTGGCTCCCAGTCCTCCAATGTTGGGATAGTGTAGAATCTCACCAGGATGCACCAGGATGTCCCCTACTGAGTCCTTGAGATGCTACATAAACTCAGATGAGAAGTCCCACTCCAGCTAGAGAAGTCTCTCTGGTCTCATTTGCAATGTATTTAGCAAAAGCCCCTCAGAGTGGGTGCATGTGGGTGCCTTACTTCTCTAGTGTCTAGCTGTGATAAAGGATTTCCTCTGTTGACACAGTCCTTTGGGGATGCAGTCAGGTTGTGGGATGGGGGAAGAGAGAGCACCGGTGCACTGGTGCCTACGCTGCCGCATTCCCTAGGACACTTTATTGATTTATTGCTTCGCATCTGTCTTCCTTAACAACTAGACTGTGGATTCCAAGAGTAGGGACCATGTCTCCATCCCCTACATGTCTAATCCCCTGTCTGACATGTGGTAGATGTATAAGGCATCATTGCTGAGGGAGATTCATTTTCAACAACAATTTTACGTAATCTCTTAATCTCCTGCATTTGCTTCACTTGCAAGGATATACAACGGTCAAATTAAGTGACAGGCAGTTACAGAGATCAACAGCAAAGGAAATGTCCCAGCACTTGTGACAGGCAGAAGATCTATGCCTTCATGAGCTCAACTACTGCAATCATTCAACCTCTCCAAGCCTGTTTTCTCAGTTGGAAAATGCTGATTGCACCACTGATCATCTCAAAGGTCTACGAGGATTAAATGGCAAATTCACACAAGGTGCTTAGAATGGGACTGGCACAGAGTGACCTCTCATAAATGTTAGTTATTGTTATTACGACTCTGATATATTTTCTAATGGACTTTCTCGACTTTATTGGTATGTACCAGAAAGAGCAGGAGGAGAGTAGAAATGGTCTTTTTTAGGAGCACGTTTGGTCTAAATTATGTGACCTTCCTCCATGTTCTGCTACCAGGCCTCCATAAAACCCTGCATATATCTCTCGGGGAGAGCTGATACAGTCATCTCGCGGCCAGCACTTACCGTGATGGATATCGGGCACGTCCATCCAATCTTGCACGCTTTGGCTACCTCAGCTACAAAACACCATCATGACATGTACTTTAAACTTGCAAAGGATCTTTACAAGCTCAGTGTTGTCACCTTTAAATGTGATCCCGATTGTGTTTGGCACTTAGCGTGGATGCAGGCCCATGGTCAAGCACGAGTGCTCAGTTGTAGGTCACACTCGTGGGACGCCGATGCACCTACTTAGTAGGCAGACCCACTGCCCACAATTCAACCCCCCAATGCTTCATAGCAATGTGAAGGATGTCTGCGTAACGGAGCCAGGCGGGGGTGGGGGTGGGGACATGCCATAGAAATAGAAGGCAGAGAAGTGCTGTGGACACTCATCAGCTGCGAAAGTATCAAGAATTCTCTTCCTCTGCAGCAAATGCAATAAGAATTAGCATACATCTTTACTTTTTTAAAAAAATAACTTGGAACACCATCCGCATTGCTATAATGTAGCTGGCTATGTCTCAGTGACAGGGGGACATCTCACGGAAATAAAATAACAATAACTTGTATCAAAATCTTGTAGAAGAGAACACACGTTAGTCAATGTAGTAAACTTGGGAATGAGAAAAGAAAAAGCATTCGATGGTTTCCAATTACATCTGCTCGGACGAATTAGATAAATAATCAGTTCACAAAAGTTTTGGCAAATTTAGCTACACCTATAGCTTATTCATTTTTTCCTGAGATAGAAAGGTTTCCTAGGTAAAGTGACAGCTGTTAAAAGCAACATATAATTTTTAAAAACCTTCCTCACAGAGTGCACAGAAGAAAAATGGTAACTAGTAAAAAAAAAAAAAAAGACCACATAATCAGGTAGCGTTTTACCCTGTTGCTAAGATTTCAACAAAGTAGTATAACAGAGAATCAGGT